TATTTGAATGTATTGTCAGGAATGTATTCCAAGTACCATTAAGTATTTTAAAAACAAAAAAATTTTGACTAATTCCTAGTCCAGCTAGATCTGCTATCCGAACCACTGTGCATCGTTGGCTCGTCCAATACTTGAGTATTGTTCATGTGTCTGGTGTCCTCGATACCAAAATTATATTAAGCGAATTGTATGTTTCTTGGTTGTAAACCAATTTAAAACCGATAATTAAATGCTTTACTTTAGACATAATCATACATTTTAATGCAACCTTTAAATATAAAGTGAGCTCTAAAGTTACAGGTTTCTTGAGAAAACGGCCCTTACATGTGTTAATATCAGTAAATAGTTATTCATAACAAAACTAACGGTTTAAGTTACCAGTTTACTTGCTAAAATCGAGAAAATCTGGAAATTTCTAGTGCAACTCGCATAAAATCTACTTTTTATTAAGGTCTAACTTCTTGGGCGATCTGACCTAAAGCTCGGGGGTTTTCAATCGTTTATTTGTAGGTTCGGAGGAATAAAAAGACGGGTATTCAACAATGGAAAAAATAATGCGTTTTCGAATGTGAAAACGGCTGTTTAATTGATTATTTTTTTCGCTTACAATATATTACATTTTCCCACTGGGTGTTGGGCGGTGCTTATTTTACATTTGTGAGTAAAAAATACACTTTTTTACTTCCTCAAAAAAAAAAGAATCCTAGGTTTAAGGACAACGTGCTACTTATGTAACATTTCTTGCGAAAACTAGTAACCAGTACGTAATTTTTTGCTTAGTACTGGGTTTTCGTTGAGCGTAATCAATCAAAGGCTAAAAAATATATATTCCCTGGTCTTATATTTTGTGTTTGTGTATTTGGGTCTGTGTAAAATATGCTCATTTGTAAAAATTAATTTAATGGGCATTACTGGATAATTCTTACTAATATAAATGCGAAGGCTTTTATTTAACTACTCAACCGATCATAGTGAAATTTCTCACACTGTTTTCATTTAGCTCAACTCAAAAGATAGAATAGCTTTTATCTCGATTAGACAAAGGGGCGTGGAACCTCCCATACAAACGGAATTTTTCATACTGCATAGCTCTGGATGTATTTGTGCTAGAGTACTGGAACTTGGTATGAAATCAATATTATACTCATGGAAAAATGTGGGTTACTGGAAAATGAGCCGTGGAACCTCCCATATAGACTGCATTTTTTATACTACCATCTGTTAAAAAATTAACTTCAATTCAAAGTGTTTGATAAGGTAAATGAATTATTACAAAATTAATGTCGATCGAGTCCTTGTATCCCAGAAATGGTGATTCTTGGAAACAATGGTGTCATAACGGGGTTGACGGATAATTGCATGATCTACACTAATAGGAAACCATTATGAATATATCGTTTAAATAGAGTAGATATTGTCGGCCCCTGTGGTTACGCTGGTTATAATGTACTTCAACCAGGTTGACAAGTGATAAATTATGGAAATAAATTAGATACTATTGTGAAAGAAAAAAAAAATTATTTTGAAAAATCTCCATCTCAAGAGATTTCCGGAAAATTGTGATCCTTGGATTTCGGGATATTTTTAAAGTAATCCCGCGATACCGGGATGAATTCTTAAACATTGGGAAATAGCTTTTAGGAATATGAGTAAACTATTTAACAAAACTATTTAAAATTTAGAGAAGGATTTGGCTTCGCTTGGAATTTCCAATTGGCGTCAGTTGGCACAGAAGAGTAACGACGGCGTGCTTTGTTGGACTCAGCCAAAATCGCTTAGGCAGTTACAGCGCCAAACAAGAGGAAGAAGAAAAGCTTTTATTGAAATAAAATTTTGTAATAAACAAGTTCTTACTTTCCATTCTATATTTCATATTTTTCGGGATCCAACGATTTATATAAGCAAATCCCGCGATTTTCGGGATCTGAAAAACACCGGTATCCCGGAATTGTCGTCCCTAATATGTACATAAACAAAAGATTTAAAAAAATTTTTTTAGCATGCAGACACAGTTAATATGTAAGTATTTTTTAAAATCAAAGTTCCTTCAGTGCATGTATCAGGTGCTACATATATGTATGTATGTAGACTATATTTATATTTAGAAACAAAATTCGGACAAAAGAGTGGGTCGTGCTTCACTAGCAAATTTTTGTCAAGCTTTATATAACTCAGAGTTAAAAGTAAGTTTGTGGATTTTAAAAGGGTTATCATTTAATTCTTTTTACCTTCCTTTTTCCTGAATCCCTAATAAACAACAACAACCCGTGCATAGCTACAAATATACACACGCATGACTATGTATGTACATGCACACGTACCATCCATCAAGCGTGACAAATTCAGTGGTGGCAAATTGATGACGCAATGATAAGTGATCATCTGCATCATCACAAATTGCTTACAATAATAAAATGGATTGGACAATGTGATAGATAGTTGCAGCCACATGCTCGCAAACTAATGGTTACATATACTATGTATATTTAGGAGGAGCATACCGGTGTTTTGGCGCTACTTAAATAATTTCATTGAAATTAATGAAAAATATTGCTATAACCGAGCGCATTTTAAGCCCTAAATTCTGCATTTTGCAAGAACGGTTACCAGTACACCTACGGCTTCAAAAAAGAGGCTAAAAAATAGAAAAGAGTAGATGACATTTCAAGAGCAACAACCGGAAGGACTTCACTGTACGTGAAACGTGATAACAGGACAATCACGCACAAAGCCACCAACATTATCACTCACAGCAGCATCACAATGTAACTGGTGTTGCCAGCTGAAGGTCCAACAACAACACTTCTTACATATGTAACGGGTGATTTTTTTGAGGTTAGGATTTTCATGCATTAGNTATTTCTCCGGAATAATGTGCCTAAATGAAGGTCAATGTGCTAATAAATTGAAAGCCGTCGATAGGTACCATTTCCCTTATGAAATATATTTAAAGTACTTAATGCATATAAGAAAAACAGAAATCTCACGGAAAACCTTTATTTCTGTGGCGGATATAGGTTTTTTTTTTGGGGGGGAATTATTACAGGCATCTTTTCAGTGTCAATTTCAATATCTAAGTGTACGTGTAAAGTCTTTCTTGATTCATGGTACTACGCAACCATACTTTTAACCGGCGAAGGGTTGAAAATCTTCTTGCGGAAGTCGCGTTACTAGCTGGAAAAGTGACCAGAATTCGAAGAAGCTTGTTAATCAATGGAAAGCATATTCGTCGCATTTATCAAGAATTTCTGCTGTTGATTTTGGGAATGGCTTTTCGCTTGCCTTATTTTTTCATCGTTCCAACCACACTTTATACTCTCCTTCCAAATTGATACCGTCCTTTTCTAAGAGAAGTTCGTATCATTATTTTTTCATCAGGCGTATTATATTACCCAATTTTAGATGGAAGTAATAAGTTCAAATCAAAAACGTTTAATGTCTCTTTCGACAATCTTTCTCGGATATTGGGCAAAATATTATCCAATAGCGGTATAAATATTGGCTTTCGATAATAATCTACAGCGTCAAACNTATTGAGCAAAATATTATCCAATAGCGGTATAAATATTGCCTTTCGATAATAATCTTCAGCGTCAAACGCACAAGAATTAGCCCGAGAATAGTTGTGTTTTCGTATTCTCCAGCAAAAAATATCCAGTAACTTGCCAGTAACCAAATTTCGGAGAGTGAGCCAATATTTACTCCCAATGAGTGAAATATGCAAGAAAGTACGAAAACGCAAAACCAGCTAGAAGTTGCTAATTTGTTATTTTCCGATGCAATTTTCTTAGAAAATTAGTATTTTCCATCTTATTATATATTTAAATAGGTTTATTTTGTCAATTGCAACTCTAAAAGCACCACAAACAATTATTTTGTTTATGTGAATTAGATTAAGCATCATGCCATCATCTGTTTTTCTTACTAGCAAATAGTTGCTAGTAAAAATTTATCCAGTAAAAATCCAGTAAAACTTGCAAGTTCAGCTGTCATTTTTGCTCTCTCAATTTCCCCTCTTTTGCTAGTTTCTCGCAAGTTTTTGCATACGAAAACGACATCCAGTAAAAAACCAGTAAAATTAGTACTGGATTTATTGGATAGTGCGTATGCGAACAGGGCTAATTTTGTCTATTCGCTCTCCGAGGAAGGACAATGTCAAAATCCAATTCCTTAGCGATATCGGTAACTTTTGAAAATATATCAGAAAAATGTGTCAGCATTTTCTCTATACTTTCGAAGAATATTCACAGTGCCATTGGAGAAGTAAACTTTTAATTTTTAATTTTTATATTATCTCATTAATTTTTATTATATTTTTCTAGACAGTAATATTTTTATGCGCATACAAATATCTGCTTGCACAGCTGAAATTTATATTTCCTACATACGTGCACCGCGGAAATAAAAAAAAGTAGTATCAGAAAGTTCGATTTGACATACATACATACATTCATACAGCCTAATTCTAAATACTACCAGACAGTTTGTTCTCTGGGAATTTGTTTCTCTTGAGAAAGAAATCCTCCAATAATTAATTCCCAGAAAGTAGCATTTTCCCCGAAAATTTGGAAGGAGATAATTCAAACTTCGCAAGAGCTGTTTGATACTTTTTTGGCAATTCCGCCATTTAATATAAAAATTCCGCAGTGAAATTTTGTTCATGATAGGAGGAAAGGAAAAAGAGAGAAAACTCTCAGGTAGTTCCTGTTCAGAATCGGACTATGTACATACCCATTGTTTTAATTTTTCTCGTTGATGAAGAGTTTTACACGATTTCTTTTTCTATAAATAATCTTGTGCAAGCCGAAAAAATGGTTACGATTGAAGATTGAAATAAAAAACTTTAAATTTTTTTTCAAATATCTCGTTTGAGGTTATATATTTTATCCGAATTTTGCATTTTCGAGCTCTGAAGGGGGGAGGGAAACCAGCCTTAACACGTTTTCAAGGATTGTTTTTTTCTTTTTTTTTCTTCGGAGATATGATCTGTCAAAGTTTGCATTTTTTCGTGATTCTGACTAATCATGTACTTCTTAAACTCGTTATATCTCGGGTTATGCTCGTCTTAGAGACTTCATATTAACGTCGTTTTAAAGCTAAAGAAACGGGCTTAACATTTCTGTATATAAGATGGTCAAGATTATCCTAAAGCTAACTTAGCTATTAACAGTTGAACTTTTTTAAGTTGATTTGCATAGTGAAGGCCAGTAAATTGGGGATTTAAAACAAAACCATCGCAATCTTTATTTAATTCGGAAAAAAACGTGGTCAAAAAAATGGGCGTTTTTCAAGAATATATGTATTTCTTTATGACGAGATAGTTTATTTTGTAAGAATCAACAATTTTTTGTAATTTGTTTTCGAAAACTTGTGTTGAGATATATTTGATAAGCTGTTAAACATCGGGTTTTTGCAAAAATTAAAATTTTATTGCGGATTCCGATAGAATACCTATCCAAATGTAATATTTGTACGGCAAGTTTTTGAAGCGAATCGGAGCCATGACATAATTTTTTTTTTTTACGAAATCCGTCCGACTAAAAAAATAATGGCTCATATGTAGTTTTCAAAAAAATTTACGTATGAACGAAAACCATCGCTGAATCATTTACCCTGAATTACGAATTTTAAAAATATGAGGCATCAGTTCCGTTATTCCTAAAGTATTTGCAGATTACAACGTCCAGCTTGCGCAAACTTACTTATAACTAGCATTCAGGCGTTGTTGCGAATATTGGACAGTTCCATATGCTATGGTCTAGAAATGAGATGGCCTGTTTCTTTGTTTATTTAAAATTTGGAATTCAGGGGCAATTATAATTTAGCCAACTAGTTCATTTTTACTGAGATCATTATTTGTAATATTATAACTCAGCACTTTTTTCGTATCAAAATCAAAGTTATTCGTATCGTCAGATCGTACGCTTTTGACGCGAAAGTCGTAACGGCTTTTAAAATTTCATTATCAAGGTCACCTCTTTTAATTCTTGACAAAGTTTAACATTAAATAGCAAATAATTTTTAATTTCATGTTCTGCAGAATTTTCTTTAGTAAGAAATATTTCGGCTTCTGTTTTACAAAGAATATTCAAAATAGGTATGTGATTATTTAAATGTAAAGTGTATATTAAATGATATTTGCTTTAGAGATGAAGTCGCGACAAATTTGTTTAAACAAAAATGTTAAGCGTATACACAGAACGCGGAAGCCAGCTTCTTCTGCTTGCGTTTCTATGTTTATATTATTTATCAGTTTGAGCACATACGATCAAATGTAAAAAAAAATATATTTAATTGCGGATCCAAAAGAAATAGATATGTATTATTTGCATTGAGTTACTCAAAAATAGTGCCGAAAATCAATTGATTGGGCTTAAGGTGCCGCCTGCTTCCGAAAGAGCCGAAAATAGCACAATGCACACTCATTTTCCATCACTGCTATCTTGCAACAATACCGCTGCAGCGCGTTATTGCTGTTGTTGTTTTTATTACAGCCAACCAATGTCGATGGCACTGACACGATGACAGTGACAACAAAAAACCAGTAGCCCAGCCTTAGAACGACACCATGAACAATACTCGTCTGTGCCGTGTTGTTGTGCGGATGACAGAGTGCTTTTGTTGCTTCAAATCATCAATATTAACAATAAATACTCTCGAAATGGGATGAGGGTAGGTGGCGTGTGAGAAGTGCTATTATAAGCGTTTAAATATTGATGGTTTGTTTGCCTGCGAGCGCATGATTGTTTTCCTTGTCTGTGAACAGTTGGCGATAAACTGACGTTATATTGATAGTGTCGCTGGTGCAAAGTAGCGAATCCAGAAAATGTTGGAAAAGAAAGAAAAAAGTATGCGCATAAATAGGTTTTATATGTTGAGTACTGTTTTGTATGCAGAACGTGACAATTAAATCAATTTGAAGTGTATACACTGCAATCGAGTTGAAGGGATTAAGAGCGGCTCCATGTAGTTTAAGGACTTAAAGAATTGGATGTGATGTAATGAACGCTTTATAACTCCTATATTCCAAAATATTTAAACAAAATAACACCAATATGCAAAACAAAAAAGCAAGTACGAGATATACATACATTTTCCAAAGCCAAACTTTGTTTTGATATCAAAAATCCGAGGGGTTCTTATTAGAGGAAAAAAATTTTAAAAATAACTAGTTATTATGTTTGCTTGATTTTGAGCAACAATGCCCGAAACCCAAAAAAGTGTCGCCTAAACTAATCCAACATCTGTCTGGAACGCTCACCAGTTTATCTGCAATGCATAGCGGCATAATGCGTAGCGGGGCAAAACAAAAAGATGGCCGTGAGTGCACAAATTGATTTGGAGATCCCAAATCTGAACTGATTTCAAGTAAGTTTTTTTAACTGAAAGACAGTAAATTTTAGCGTCGAACTATCAGCGACTATTTTTAACACAACCTCTAGTTCTGTGTTTATTGGTGTTAAAAAATAAAAGAACAAAGATTTTTGCGTTTGAATGCTACCATTCTTTTAGAAAATACTTGAAATTAATTTCAAATGTCTGTTAATATTTTTAAGCTTGTGCTTGAAACATCAGAGTTAATTAAAAATTTATTACATTTGTTATTAACCCTGGAACACTAATCATATTTTTAATACGCTAACACTAATTATTAGTCGATCGACTAACATGTATTTTGACAAGATTTATTTTAAAGTTTTAAAGCATCAATCGTCAAAAAATATTCCGTACTTTATTATTCTAATACTTTCTTACCGAAATAAAACAACAGTTATGCGGTTACACTGGTTTACAGCAAAAATGTTCCATGGATGCCACTATCCAATCCCTATGTACAATTGCTCGGTGATTCCGAAAATGGAGTAAATTTATTTTTTCTATGGATACGTTTTCAAGATATTTTCAATTTACCGTTATTCTGCTTAAAGCAAAAATTGGTTCCGTGTAATCACGTATATCTTACATACCAATTTAACAATCTCTTCTTCTGTGCTAACTGACGCCAATTGGAAATGCCAAGTGAAGTCAAGTCCTTCTCCACCTGGTCTTTCCAACGCAGAGGAGGCCTTCATCTTCCTCTGTTACCAGCATCGCGGCCCGCGTTGAATACTTTCAGAGCAGGAGCGTTTCTGTCTATCCGAACGACATGGCCAAGCCAGCGGGGCCGCTGAATTTTAATTCGCTGCACTATGTCTATATCGTTGTAAAGCTCACACAGCTCATCGTTAAATCGTCTGCGATATTCGCCATCACCAACGCGTAAAGGTCCGTAAATCTTTCGCAGAATCTTTCTCTCGAAAACTCCAAGAGCCGCCTCATCAGATGCTTTCATTGTCCATGCTTTAACAATCTTAATATACATAAATACGGCATATGAAAGCTAATAGAATTCTACATAAACCGTATATACACTACTTTCCGATAACACTTATAGTTTCTGACAAATTAATTAATCAGTCCATCTTTTTTTATTTTTTATTGAAAAAATGAAAAAATCTAACTTTAAACAGAAGAGAAATTAAAAAAATAACAGGTTCTGTGCCAAATTTTGTATTTGTGCTAAAGCCTGTTCTGTTAAAAAAATCAAATTACTAATGAAGTAAATCGATGAATAAATAATGAGTGGTCAACTGAAAATACGCAAAGCCTGTTTGTATGAAAAAGGAACAGGAAAAAAAATTACTCATACGCCACGCACACCTGAGTAACACGCTTTTCTGCTCATATTTCATACAAAAAATCTTTGCGCATTTTCATTTGACCACTCATTATTTCTTATTTATCCATCGATTTTCTTTAGTAGTAACTTAATTTTTGTTTGTAACAGAGCACAGATGCAAAATAACCTGCCTAATCTTTTAAATTTTTCTTGTGATAAAGATTGATTTTTTTCATTAAAAAATAACAAAAACCAGAATAATTTATTAAATTATCAGAAGCTATCAGTCCTATCGAAAAGTGATGTATTTATGGTTTATGGAGAATTTCCTTAGCTTTGATTTGACGTTTCTTCTTCCAGGATTGTTAAATTGGTTCGAAAGAAATGCGTGATTAAGTGGAGCAATTTTTATACCCGAGCGCACTTGTGCACAAGGGTATATTAATTTTGTTCACATAACGGTTGTTTGTAACAGCCAAAATGAATCGAGATAGATATAGACAAATGTATACATAAATGATCAGGATGAAAAAAGAAATCGATTAAGCCATGTCTGTCTGTCCGTCTGTCCGTCCGTCCGTGTACACGATAACTCGAGCAAAAATTGAGATATCTCAACGAAATTTGGTATGTAGATTTCCCTTAATCCAAGGTAGGTTGGTATTGAAAATGGGAAATGGAATCGGACTGTAACCACGCCTACTTCCCATATAACGGTAATTTAGAGAAATACAAAATCTTCGATAAATCAGTAAATATTGAAGCTAATTTATTCAAAATTGATGCTTGCAACAAATCTTTACCAAGAAATACGTTTATGGTAAAATTTTGGAAAATGGGCGTGGTACCGCCCACTTATGATCACATATATGTATATCGGTAACCGTTCTACCAATTTGTACCAAACTCGGTATTTTTATTGTGCTTGCCACATTATTATTGGAATGGGACTAAAATTACGGCCGCTTTTCATATAACGGTAAATTTCAGAAACGCTTGAAACTTCAATATTTCGAAACTGAAGGACGCTAATTTACTCAAAATTGATACACCCCGGCTTACCATCTAGCGGTAGCTTTCGGAAAGGTGAAAAACATATATTTAAAACGTGCGCCGGGTATTTAACGTTCGGCTCCGCCCGAACTTAGACTTTCTTACTTGTATTGTTTTGAGCTGAATAACGGTAAATTGAAAATATCTCGAAAACATATCCATAGAAAAAAAAATTAAATCGATTTTCTGAATCATCGGGCAATTCCAAATATAAATTGGATAGTGGCGCCTAGAGAACAAGATCCTAATTAAAATTTGTGCTTCAGTGTTATGTTGTAGTCTAATTAACGAAAATTCAATTTCAAAAAATGCATTTTCAAGAAACTTCACCACAAAACATAAACTGTGTTAGTGGAATCGACTAACATTAATGTTCTAGGTACGGTGACCATCCGTTCTATTCTTTGCAGGACCGTACTGTTTTTCAAAGGTCGGTCCTGCGTGGTTTTTCAAACCTGAAAATCCTGAAAATGTACTGATTTTCTCCAAGTGTCCTGCATTTGTCCCGCATTTTATTCGTTATTTTAAAATTATCGGACAATGGATGGATTTTTTCAAAAAAGTGTTTTTTGGTACTTTTCGTAGCTTTTCTTCAATATCTTATGAAAAAATCTCCAAATTAACGTAAGCGACTTACAGCTCTAAGGGTATTGATGCGCCTCTTACCAAAATATATAACTTGTGGCGACTTCAATGAAAATTATTAGTGCTACAGGCGAAAAAAGTGAGATTTTAAATCAAATACGCAGTTTCATTTGATTGATTTTTTTTTTTATTATTTAAAAAATTCGATAAAGAAGATATATCATTACAGTAAACTTTGAGCCAAAGATAATGAAAATTGGATTAGAAATGTATATGCTATGGAGCACAATCTGCACAAATTATATATTTTTGTAAAGGGCACTTTGTAACTCGTCGTTTACGTCGATTCATGACGTCGATTTTTGACAAATAACAACGAAAAGTACCAAAAAAAAAACAAAAAAGAAGGGTATTGTTTTCATTTTGAACGACTAAAAATTTGCCTATAAAATAATCTTTTAAAGATTTTCACTTTTCGTGTAAGCTATTGCAATTATAATATGTTTTGCTATACTTTTATAAATATTCATGTTAAAAAGGATTAATATCAATGAAGAAAACGTGATTCATTTTTAAAGTTTATAATGTATTAAGAATTTAGAATCATAAATACTCTTTTGATATTTTTATACTACGTAAATATATGTAGGCATATTTTTGAAAAATTGTCCTTCATTTTGAATCCATATTTATGATCACCGTAGTTCTAGGGTTGTAGGCATATCTATGGCAGGTGCTTATAGCATATATATATGAGTCTGTAAACGGACGTCGTACATCCCAAAGGCATGGAATTTTTTATCAGCTATAACATAGGAACCATAAGTGACATAAACTTGAAATTTGGTATGCAGACCTATCTATGATAGGTGCTTATAGTAAGGTATATATGAATGAGTTTGCAAAAGGGGGCGTAGCACATAACCCACATAAGCCATAGCTTCGGAACCACAAGTCACATGTCCCCTTTAAGTCCTTCTTATATGCCTTTCGAATTCACAGTATTTCAGTATCCAATGTGCTTAGCTTTTGCAATGACAATAAACAATAATTCGTTAAAATGAAACTAAAACCAAAACAACAATTAACAAAAACAAATAACTTAAGGACGAGCACACCTAAAAGTTAACATTCTAAAAATAGAATTATTAAAAAAACCAACAACCACATGATCAAGTTTAAATAGCACCGGTACAGCTGCGCTTTATTGTAGTTGGCTCACATGGAAAAATTGGAAAAATAACAACAGTTTATAAGGCGAACTTAGCACAGGGCGTAGGTAACTGGCTGAGTCAGCTGGGGTCGTCGGGTCGAATCCCGCTGAAAAAGTCTGATGAGGAAATGTGGTGATTTCCGAAATACATAGCTATCACTGCTACCATTTTTTCAAATTGTTGTTGCTTTTCCACAATAGTTTCTCATTAAAAACGGCCTTAAGCTCAATAAAAATTGTCGAATGTTAAACTTAAAACTTTACCGAAAAAAGTATGATAATTGTAATGGACAATGCATTTATGTTAATAGATGTTTTGAAGTATTAAAAACATGTTGTGAAATAATAATAGTGTTATTATTGCAAAGAAATAAGAAAATTAAGAAAATTTACATATAACAACATTGGTACTATTATATAATTAATTGCATTTCCTTCCATTACACCCAAGCTATACAACTGTCCTACCTTATTCTGCTATCACGGGTATAGTAAAATTAGAGCAGAAATAAAATATAAGATCTTTACATAAATTATTTTTCATATTGGTATAAAGACGTGGGATGAAAGCTAGTTAGTATAATAAAGTACAAGTTGGAAGAAACTTAAAATTTTGATGAAACTCTGTCGAATTTTGCTGATTTTTGTAGAAAGTTTAAAAATCTGACTTATGAGATCTTTGTAAGATAACGAGCCACACTTTCACAAAAAGTAGTAAGCATTAAATAATCGAAAGGGAAATAGCCCCAAAGAGGTAAAATGTGTCTTCCCTATTTATATTTACGCCACTCTAGCTACAGCTTATGCTTTTCATATCCCCGATTTTTTGAGAATATTATAGAGAATTTCATTAATTATATTATTAATAAGGATCCCCGATTTTTTGAGAATATTATAGAGAATTTCATTAATTATATTATTAATAAGGATGCTGGCTATGTTTATGGTTCACTTACATTCTATGTCCTTTGTGATAACGAAAGTGCTGCCTCGTTTGTACGAAAATTTTTTTTTGGGCCATAGTACAGTGAGAGTCTTATTAAATGTGAAAAATCGGGACACTGATACGTCCCGACTTTTAAAAAATATTCAGCGGGACAATTTTCTCAAAATCGGTACTGCCCCACCAAAATCGGTACGAATGGTCACCGTATGTATACAGGAAATTTGTCTACTCATACGCCATGTATTCCCGCGCTTGCACAACCAATGTACGTACAAAAGTACGTTAGCATATATATATATGTATGTATACCTATAAGGGTTGCCGTTTTGGTCTTTTCCTACCATAATTAGTAGGTGTTTTTCTCGTTGGTAGGATGGTAGGACGCTTAAAATTTTGGTAGGTTTCTTTGCTTATGAAACAGAAAACATCTCTGGCTTGTGTAATGTGTCACTTTGTCAGTACTGTGAGTAGGCTTTCCAAATTTTGAAAATATGAATTTTATATATAGGCAGAATTCTACCAATTACCTTCGGCAATTATCTGAACTCTATATTCGTATAAAAAGTCTTATCCACTGCGTATCTAAATATCAAGTGATTGAATTGATGGATGTAAAGGCAAGTTTATAAATGAGATATTTTTTTTTTTTTTAAATGCAGTTGCGAATGGATAATATTTTCAACAATGACAAGGTTGTTAAAATATTTTAAATCACTGAAAAGAAAATCTGCATAAATATAACGAAAACTTGCTTACATTTACGAAAGTTTTCGCCATTTTGAGCCACGAAAGTTTTCGTTGATTGTATAAAACTGTTTTCGTACATACTACGAAAATATGAGACATCAGATCTTAGTACATTTTACGAACGTATTCGTACTATTTAGTAAGGAATTTCGTGCTATTTACTAAAGATTTCGTGCTATTTCTTAGTTTTTTTACGAAATTTTTGTAAAATGCACAGAATAGTTCGTATATTTAACGAAATGATTTTCCTAAAATCTGCGGTTGTTTCGTAGAACTTCCGATTGCTTTCAATCACCACACTGTAAAAAACATAAGACGAGTTATAACACAACACTTTCATTTTGTTTTTATTCCTAATTTTAAGCGTTTTTCTTTAACAAAATATTTTTATGTGGAGGCACTTGGCAGATTCGCAGCTTCTTCGATGTTTGTATCCTTTCTCGACTATAAATTAAAGGAAAATTATAAGGCGTCTGAAAGGCAAGTTTTAGTGAAAAATCATACATGTACTTACTTAAAATTTCATTAAGTAGTGCATCTGTTCCTGGCTTGGGCTTGCCGTTGATAGCTAACTGATGAAATTGCCTATTAATGAAGTCCAACATTGCAGAGCAGGGCTCAGCGTGGGCGATGTTAAAAACTTTGTATGCTTAAAATCATTTATCTACAGCTTTATCATTTAATTTATATTGAATTTTTATCCAGCAAAAGTTTCTTAAAGCTTTTAAAATTATATTATACGTCTCACAGTAGCCAACCATTTCGAAACTAATGACACGCGGTACATAAAAATATTTGACGAAATATTACACTGACGGTAATTTAGTATATTGTACGAAAATATTCGTCTGTTGTACGAATTAAAAAAAAAGTTTCTGCATTTGTTCTATATAAGAAAGTATTAAGTAAATCGTACGAATACAGAATTGCAGATTTCATAAATTTTAAAACCATACGTAAATATTACGAATGCCTTCGTACAATATACAAAATTATTCGTACAGAGATTTTTTCAGTGCTTTACGAATGTGTTTCGTAAGACAAACGTAAGATTTCGGTTCGAATGGTTCATAAAATCTTGTTTCGTTTTGAAAAATGTGTTCGTATTATGAACGAAAGTTTCGTACTAAGCCTACGAAAGTTTTTGGTACCACTTTTACGAAATTTTATTTTCAGTGATGGCAATAGAAGAGTGTTTCAAAAAAAAAAAACTTATTGTTAGTCATATTTCCAGTAAATCGGAGAATCTCAAA